GCAAAAAAATCCCCAGCACTCTCTCAAAAAAAAAAAGCATCCCTGCGGGTTTTATGTTTCGTGCATAAATTCTCTATTGATCTCAGATTTGTCGTCTCCGTCTTATCCTTACGGCGATGTCAAAGCATTAAGTAAAAGAAGCCATTAACAAAACATGACATGTGGTCCAATTCAGAGAACTTTTTCTTTTCCTGGGCTATAATTACATTTTCACACCAAAAAAAAAAAAAAAATCAAAGTCAAGTTCACGAAACTGATACGCAACGCTGCCTATGAAAATCATGAGTGAGCGCCGTTCAGATCAACATTACGTTTGCCTTTACGTCAAGTGATATGTCATCACTCTGTATTTTCCGCACCATAAGGCGCTTCGGAGTATAAGGCGCACCTTCAATGAGTGACCTATTCCAAAACTGTTTTCGAATACCGTATAGGGCGCACCACATTATAAGGCACATAAAGAGAAGCTACTATAGTGGCTGCAGTTGCGTTATGCAGCCACTAGATGGAGCTACGCAAAAAAATACTATACAATACAGCTTTATTTATAGAGAGCTTTCACAACCGCTGCAGCTGTAACAAAGCGCTTTAGAGAACATTTAAAATACTACGTCCAAGAAATCTGAATATTGATCCATGTATAAGGCATCGGCTTATAAGGTGCACTGTCAGATTTTAAGAAAATTGAATGCTTTTAGATGCACCTTATACTGCAGAAAATACGGTATACGCTACAGTATAACCAAAGTGTATTCTGAGTAATAAAATGGAATAAAAGCTTTTATTTGAACACACCATAAGGTGAAAAAGAGATAAAATAGAAAGCTGAGGAAATTACATTTACAGAAGTATTCACAGCCTTTGCTTTGGAAACAACAGCCTCAAGTTGATAGATGCCACAAGTTTGGCGCACCTTTTTGAGCTTTGGGCAGTTGCCACTAGGTTGGATGGGAGGGGCGTCGGTGCACAGCCATTTTCACATCTCACCAATTGGATTAAAATGTGGAATCTGGCTGGGGGGCTTGGAGATATTCAGAGAGTTGTCCTCAAGCCACTCTTTTGATATCTTAGCAGTGGGCTGAAAGCTGTCCTACTGAGAAACTAACCGTCGCCCAAGTATAAGGGCAAGAGCGCTCTGGAGCAGATTTTCTTGCTCTAATTAGGCTTTAGAAATTGGAAACAGGATGCATTTAAGCACAAGGCTGTGAATAATTATGTAAATGTGATGGGTTTTTTTTGGGGGGTGGGGGTTCATTTATGGGTTTTTGTATGTCGAATTTTAAGTGTAAAAAAAGATTTTAATCAATTTTGGAATAAGGCCGTTACATAAAATGTGGGAGAAGTGAACCAATTTGACTCCTTTTCAGATGCACAATAAAGTTCCACTTTATGAACTATTGTTATTTTGAATCAGTCATGACGGACAGCGCTGTGATTCTCAAACCTACTGTATCGATCCATCCATCCATCTTCTGGATCGCTTATCGTCAATAGGGTCACGTGTGTGCTGGACAGCAATCTACCATATCTACTGCAACAAGTATTTTTTTTTTTGAGGACTCCTCGAGAACACCGAGAGCAGTCAAACGGTTTCACCAATGACCAAGCCAAAGTCAGCATGCAAAAAAATTTGGCGAGAGTGGCTCCTTCCAAAATAATGTCAACCAAAATGTGTCAGGGGGAAGGAATGTAAGCAGATCTTTTTGATTTATATCACCCATCCTCTGATTATTATTATTATTATCATTATCAACACTGTCTGATGAGATCAGACAATCGGGGCTTGGCTCATCAAAAGAAATGAAAATCGTTTCATTTTAGCATCATCATATTTTGCATGATAGGCCGTGCATTTGTGTAACATGATCTTTAAATTGCATGTCAAGCTTTTCTGGTTTTGGATCGAAGGCAATCATTTCTTTTGTCACCAATGTCAAAGGGGAGGAAGATTAAATGCTCGACTAAAACAAGACTTTTAATCCGAATTTAATAAGATCTTGTCAAGCATCGTGGAGAGCCTCGCTTATATTTTAAGCATTTAGCCATCATCAGCAAGCCTTTGACGCCAACAATTCAGCTTCATCCTTTTCTCTGTTTTGATTGCTGTCAACCCATAAGCTGTTTATTTGTGTTTCCGACAGGATTTAGCCAATTCCACTTGACCTATTGCGATGGTCGCTGGGGGAAAGGTGGATGCGGCCTCGTTGAACACGAGTCCACGCCGTGACTATGAATTTACTTCTTCACCATTAGGCCAGTTTAAAAGAGGGGAGGGTAAGGAGTCAAAAAAAAAACAAAAAACGATCACAACTGTCCAAGGCATTTGAGAGTGACACGACATCTAATTCTCACATACTTATGAGCTTTACATAGACTAAGTCTTTCAGCGGCCATGCGTCTTATTCCGCAGGTCTTTCCTAGAGACCGTTACGCGTATGGCATTCTTGTTAGGTCCTGTTGTCGCCTCTCTCTGAAATGAGGTCAGAATCAGGGGCCCGTTGGGACCCGAGCAGTGTTCCAAGCAGGAGTGCAATCCATGCTAAGTGGAAGAAAGGCAAACGGCAGTGCGGTGCGACGCAGAAGTCAGATAAGAGGTGCAATGAGCAGCGCAATAGGTAGGAGTCCAGCTTTTGTCCGTCAGCTTGTCTCCGCTCGGCCCGATGGGAGAGATTAAGAGTGTGGAGCGCCGCTTGCTGTCCAGGCTCCAGGCAAACTCTGTTTTCAATCAAGTTTAAGTTCTCTCTCACATCTACATAAACACCACATCTCCTCCACAAGTGCGGACACACTTGCTTTGACACGAGCTTTCCATCAGCATTGGATTGATTAAATTACAGTGACCTCAAGTCATTTTTCCATCAAAGGCGATGAAATCCAAGCGAGCCTTTATCAGCTTTGTGAGTAAGTGAACTCTCATAAATTGGCCTGACAATAAACTCAAACATAACAGAACTCCTCATCCTGTTTAGGTGCCTCGTTGATATGACGGGTGCTCCCTTATACGGCCCCTACACTCATTAAACTGCTGGGTTAAAAGTAACCCAAATTCAGTGAAATAGCGAACCCAGCACTGGGTCCAAAATGGACACCCAGTGCAATGGATTGAGGATTTAACCCAGCATGTTGGGTCAAGATTTTGACCCAACACGGGGTAAAATCTAGCGCTACGGCGTTGATTTGGTCTTCTTTTTATGAGGTTTTAGGTTTGTTTCGTACACACTATTTATTTATTTGTTGTTTTGAGTTGTCTTGACGCATCGTAGCGCGTGTCGTGTGACATACTCAATGATTGGTCGTGAGGCGTCTGGGAAATTGGCTACATG